ACAGTCTTTACTGTCTCGCCGTGCGAGACAGTCTTTACTGTCTCGCGGGCGAGACAGACTTTTACTGTCTCGCCCACGCGAGACAGTCTTTGCTGTCTCGCCGTGCGAGACAGAATTTACTGTGTCTCGCGGGCCGAGACAGTAAACACTGTCTCGCCCGTCGAGACAGCAAAAGCTGTCTCGCGAACCTGTTTTCTGCCAACTGTTCTTGGAGGTTATAAATACCCTCCTAAGGCCATTTTTCCAAGGGGCTGATGATTGTGAGAACTTCAGAGCAATCCAGAGCAATCCAGAGCAGAGAGAGAGCAGAGGTGCTGATCTTACGGCCAATCCTTGAAATTGAGCTTTGACTTGATTTCAAGAAGAACGACTATCTTACCTCGATAAGATATCGTTTCAATTTCTCACTTCGATAAACGAAGTCAGAATCATAAACCCCTCACGGTTCAATCAGAATCTGTGACTTGGTGATCCACGAGTCAAAGCGCTCCCGGCACAGGCAAAGATCCCACAAAAGCAGTGATCCAAACAACGATCCTGCGTTTATTTTCTCAAGAGTTGTAATTTTCTTTTTGTTGTGTAAAAGAGTCTTATAAAAAGGCTGTTTTCTTTGAATTTATTGTAATCGACCGAAGATATAATGAATTCGACAACAAATTCGACTTTTGGCGAAAACATTGGCCAACTGATGACGCCTTTCGACTCAGCCGGGTGAGAAGAGACGACTCGGTCTGACGAGAAGGGATGACTCCTTGCGATAAGGGCGAGAAGTACCGCCTTTTTATTCAGCCTCGAAAGTTCTCGATCCGGACTAGAGAGAAGGGACACCGTTGGCGACTGGGGAGAAGGGACACCGCTGGCGAGAAGGGGTGACTCGGCCTGACGAGAAGTGTTTTGGGAGTGTTTGGTGGAAAATTTGTAGTAAAAGAAATGAAAGAATATTTGATTTGTATTCTCTCGATCTCGATTACAATTGAATTTCCTGATTACAAAAGAGAGGAGAATGATCTGGATTCCCCCCTTTGTTTAATTCTGGGTTCTTCACGGTAGCGATGGAGTGTCTCCCTCGAATACTCGTGTCGAGTTTGCTCTCCGTTGACGGTCCGAACGTCTTGATTCACTGGAACGATATCTTCTCCTCACGGTTTGACGCTGTGGAGAACTTGCGTGGCAAGTTTGAAACTCTTGATGAGTTGATAACTCTGAACGAGTTTGAAACTCTATGAAAGAGTTTATTTGAACCGAAAGTTCGGTTAATAAGCCAATGATGAAAGCTTCTTGATCTCAGTTGCTGAAGAATGCTTCCAGATCGGATGATTGAAGAAGCTCTTGTTGCCGATCTCTAGATCCGAGAATGTTCCAAAGATCCCCTCTTTGCTACCAAGCTTCAGGGTCAATCCGAACCAAGAAGTTCCACCCTCAACTCAATTGAGTTTACCCATATTTATAGGAAATTAAAGGGTGTAACCGTCCCGTTAATTCTCTCCATAATGGGGTTGAGAAGGGTGTAACTATCCCCTTAATCCGCTCCAAAGTGGGGGCGAAAATCCCTCAGATCATGGGGAGAAAACGGTTTCTGAAACCGTTCAACTCGTGTTTGAACGAGTCAAACGCAGGTCTTGCATTCTGGAATGAAATCTGCGTTTGAACGCAGTGTTTGCAAGTTGCGTTGGGCAACAGATGAAACCTGCGTTGGCAGCTGTTAGAAGCTGCGTTGGCAGCAGTTAGATGCTGCGTTTGACAGCGGTTGAAGCTGCGTTTTGCAGCATTTAGGAGCTACGTTTGGCAGCGAATGGAAGCTGCGTTTGCAGCATTTAAGAGCTGCGTTTGCATAGCTTTGACTCTGGAATGAGACCACTTGTGCTTCACCTCTGGGATGCAGGGATGAGTCCTGCGTCTTCGATTGAAGAGATCGTTGGCTTGTAATCTCTTCTGTCAGAGCGTCGCGACGATCATTGTTTAGTAATCTTCACTTTAGTTCTTTGAAATGTGAGTCGTCAGATTGCAACTCTCATTATTGGTTGTGAAGACCATTGATCAGAGCTTTCATCGGTTGTCGTGAATATCGTTGATTTGTAACATTCATCGATCTACGTGAAAGTCTTCAAATTGTAGCCTTCTGGAAGTCATCAAATTGTAACCTCCATTGTTGATGTTTGATAGGGATAAGCTATCTATTGTGATTTTTAGACAGCCTACAGGGAGTCGACTTGCTTTTGATTTGGTTGACTCGAGTTGATATGGGCTGTTTAGCGAGGTTCGTTTCAATCATCAGGCGACCTTCACTACAAACTTGTTCTGGGCTTGACTTTGGGCCCATTTGAAGTGTTTAGACCATGGGCGTTCACTTCTTGAATCAAAGCTAATCATTGGCCTAAGTGAAAACATTTTGATCGTCTACACCGATATTTGACTAAACCAAATTCATTCAATTAGTTCCATTTTAGTGCCTAAACTGCCCAAGTATTTAAAGGGTTGGAACCAAATGTCTAAGTAGTGTATCCAAAAGAATATGTTTTTAGAGAGTTTAAATTTAAGGTAATAAGTAATTGATCCGAGGGATTGATTCAAAACCCTGCAGGCAAAGGGGCAGAGGAACATCGAAGAGGCAATACGGCTAAAAGCAGGGCATCAAATGAGCAAGTGGAAAGAATCCAAGAACTTAGGTCTAACTTCAGTCAAGGACAAGAAGGTTTAGATGAATGCAGATGAAGAGATCGATGAACTTTTAAATTAGGAGAAGGAAATATTTGAGGGTCATACGTGAATGAGTGACGACAACTAGGGATAGACCAAAACATTATGGCGGTAGAAATAGAATTGGAGGTTTCTAACTTAACAATGGAAAATGACTTAAAATCCGAATGGAGAAAGAGGATCACGAATCAATCCCAAGAAGATCTCAATAAAGGTTTGGTGGTGGTTGTTATTTCCCCAAAGTTGATAAAATTTTAGGTAGGAATGGCACTGATGCGATTATAAAATAAGACAATATAAATGCAATCTGAATTTTCCACTTTGGGATCTTCAGAATTATACAACAAATATTAGTGTAGGACATGACTCCTAACATAAATATACACTCTTACTGAATTAAGATGTGGATCCTTGAGAATCCAATAGTTGGTAATCCAAAAAAGTACACACGTGCACGCTCACACGGCATATGCGCGCACATGCACAACAGGGGCAAGCACGCCCATGATTTGGTTCATTACAACATATTTAGACAAGACAAATATTGAGGGAAGGAATATCGAGCAAAGAGATGCATGTAAGAAAGAGTCTTCCAAATTTCATTTAATTCATAAGGAAAACACATTTTGGATGAACATACGGGGAATCTCAAATCCAACAATTTATTGGGTTTGAATTTGGGCATTCTCATGTATTTCTTAGTGAGTTTCGATGCTAAGGCGTCCTAGAAATTCACCATGGATCCAAAAGTAATTCTTGTAGGATCTAACCGAGATCTGTTCCATTTTCACATTCAACTTCAAGTCTCATAAGGGCTCATCTAAACAAATAATGTTCTTCATCCACACAATAACATTGCATATTGATGTCAACAAGAAAATCTTCATAAAATCTTGCAGCTGCTAAAGTAAACCAACTACTACCTCATTCTTGTGTTGTATTGGTAAGTCTCTAACTATATGTGAAATTTGTACTCATTGGCCCATGCTTCAGCGCGTCATTGCAATATTAGAAATACATGCCATGTTGTCTCCAATGGCAAATACATGACACATGCTCATACCAAATGATTAAACAAAAACTTATTCAGAAATTATTTACAACGAGAACAAGGAAATGCGTAGGTGACTCAAACACTACCTAGATGGAAATATGAAAAAGGAGCAAGGAAGAAGAATAAAGGTAAGACAAGATAAATTGAGAATAGCAGCTTCATCCTCTGCAGTATCTCGTACTCGCAAATCTATCAAATTTCAACTCATTTAACATCTATATGTTCGAACATAGTGGACTTTGTATAGAACAAATGACTTTAAGTGACAAGTTTAAAATTTTACCCAACAAACTTATTAATTTTAAAAAACAAAAAACAAAAAACAGAGGGGGAAGCCAATATATTCTTCAAAATATGCATATGCACAGACCTATTTGACCCCTAATGCTAAATTGGTAAACACTTCTGACTTAACAAACAAAGTGCGTTACTGCATTGAGCTATAAACTCTAAATCTCAGTCAAATGCTGGAGCACCACTTCATTCACAGGAAGAATTGGCATATTCTCAATCTTTTAAGGACAAAATATTACCAGAAAATAATGTTTGATTTTGTTGACTTATATATAGCAAGGGAAGAGGTAGAGGCAAGCCAATTCTGATTTATGCCTAGGAAACTGAACTAGATCTTACTTTTTGACCTATTCACTCTTTTAAGTAACCATTTAAGCAGAGCAACGTCAGAACACAAATTTTTGGACATTCCAACTCATGAATCGTCATAGTGTTCCTCATGAAGGTAATTATGGATTTCATTGAACATATAGGACAATGAGCAAGACCTTTTTTGTCTAAATAGCAAGGTCCTCACGTAATCATGGAATAGCGTTTAATCAGAATCCTCATCCCAGTATCAGAAATCTATCAATTTATAACACAATTTGCAAATTGCAATAATGCATGTCAGTACACTAGATCACTGGTAAATATTTTACCACCTTCATGAGCAGTTGGGTGTCGGAGTAAGTTGGTTCTTCCTAGTATGGCACAACAAAGTTACCGTCTCTTCCATGTGTTAAATGACAATACCTAGTATCCCAATTCCCTTCCTCTACGACTTGCTTCTATAAAATCACCTCTGTGCCATTTTATTCTCTTGCTTAATCATCTCATTACTCTACACTAGAAATATAAACTAAAGGCTCAGGCACTATAGAAACTTTAAGACACTTACGAATTATCTTCCAAAGAGACAAACAAGACGTTTCGTGGAAGACAAAGAATATAGAGGTTGAGGGAGATCCAAGACCTGATAAGCTGGTCCAAAAGCTATTCCGGTCACTTTAGCTTGATCCGCCCTCGGCCTATTCTTCATCAACTCAGCCTGGTTCACCTCCACAATCTCCGTTGGTATCTCATTCCTTCCTCTCTTCCCCGCAAACCTCTCCATCTCCGGGACCGCCATCGGTGCTGCCATTGCAGTGGAATTCCCATCACTCCAATTACTTGCATAGCCAGCCCCATAATCTCCGCCTTCACTCGCATAACTGGTCTCATAGCTCGTAACCCCAAACTCGTTTGCAGCCAAATTTCCCTCATAACTCGCATAGTGCTC